TGCCCCAATTAATGGGTAACCACTTCATTTTCATTTTTTCCTTTGACATTAACAGGGTTGCTATGAATATTTGGGTACATACATTTTTTTTTCTTCCCCTACGCCCTCCTTGGTGTATATGTCCAGTAGTGAGGTCAGCAGGTCAAATGGTGTGAATGGTTTGGTAAATTTTCTGGCATAATTCCAAGTTGTTTTCCATAACAGTTAAAACAATTTACCATTCTAAGAAAAGCTTATTAATATGCCTGTCTTCCCACAGTCCCTCTAATGTTGCTTTAATTGCCCACTATACATTTTTTCTCATTTTTATTCTTCTTTTTAGTCTTATATTAATTTTAATCTTTTCTCTAACAAGTCACTGGTCTGACTGTTCAAACAGAATCAATTTCATTTTTCAGTGATGCTATTCAGTGCTTGCCATGTCTAGCATCTTTTGGTCCTTTTCTCAAAGGAAATATCCATGATATATTGGTGTGGGCCTTCTCATTCTTTATTCTTGAGGCATATTTTCTAACATTTTTCACTATCCTCACCTTTGTCTCAAAACCACTAAGTATCAAAATACATATTAATTTGGAGGCCCTTATCAAGTTCTTCATATAATTTCTTCATCCTTCATATAATTCTTCATTCTCTTATTATTTTCATGGTGGTCTTTTTGTGAATCCTCATCAAGAAGAGTGCAATTTGAGAAGACCAAATGTTCCATGAAATATTTCTTGTTGCCTTTATGTGTGCTATAAAACTAAATCTGGCAACACTTTATTTGCTTCTCCAAAGAGAATCTACGAGCAATCATTCTTCCATTTATCTTGCAATTCCCTTGTTTTATTTATTTTTCAACAGTGAGAATGTAAAGACTGCTAGAATTCAGTTTTTTCACTAGTATATCTACTTATTGGTCATTGAACAAGGACTCTTTATTTAGAATTCCAACAGCCCTAGGCTGTTGGATGCTTTGGTATGTGGAGCTGTTGGCATCATTGATTTTTTTTTCTAGAGATATAGCATCTATAAAAGAGAGCCTAAAAACTGTGATTCTTAGCACCCTCTTCCCCATTCTACCACTCTGCCCAACTGGAAGGGTTGCTACACATTACAAATGTCCATATCATATTTTTCATGTGATGGATTGCGATGGCCAAAGAAATCATCACTAAGTGTCCAGACTACTGGTGTTAAGCCTGTCTGTACTTAGCTAAGCTGCTCCTGCGAAAGATGATATCTCTTCCTACACCCACATCTGTGTTCAAAGATTTTCTATCATGTTAGAATGTGCCAAAGCTTGTGTTCTCCTGGCAGAGTCTTTGAAAATCCAAGATTATTTCCATGCTACAATGAGGCATCGGAGTAGGCTAAATCCACCCATTAATGAATACTCTTTTTATTTGGTCATTATACCAGTTCCAAATCCATTTAATTATGCTATCATAAAGGTCACATCTCTCCATTTTTCCACAAGGGTTGTATGAGACTTAAACTCTTTTCTGAAATCTAAATTTACTTCATCTACCCCATTATTGTCTAGTTATCTTGTGAAAAAAAAATAATGTTAGTTTGGCATGACTTGTTCTTGAAGAAGCTATGTTATCACCACTCTTTCTAGGTATTGTAGCTGATACTCCTGGCTCCACAATCAAGCCTTGATTTGGGTAGTTCCAGGATGCCAACATGGGAAAGGGGATTAGGAGCTCAACCAGGAATATCCAAAAGGCTTTACAATTCTGATGTTAAAGGCCAGGAGGCACCATAGTGCATAAAGATTTTAAAATAGAAGGCTATAGACATAGATGATCATAGATGATTTCAGAAAAGGAAGGGGATGCAGTCAGGAGGAAGGATAATGTCTGGAATAGACAGTCATGTCTAGAGCAGAGACAATGTAGTGCTAGAAAGACTAGGCCTGAAAAATTTCAGATGACTACAACTCCATTCTAGCAGACTTTTAGTCCTTTGTCTCCTTGTTGGCAGCCTTCATGGCTAAATTTTGTGGCTAACTTCCATAGAAAGCTATTCATTTGCCATGTACCTGTCACTTGGGGTGTATGGAGTGTTCAGGAGGACTAGCACCTCAGGTGTGATGGCTTGCCACACCCTTTTCAGGGCTGCTCATCCACCTTTGATGTTCACCTGATTCACCCAACTCTTACCTGTGGCTCCAAGAAACTAGCATGCACAGTAGTCACACTCCAGTAAACAGTCTTTGTAGATAGGTTAAACTGGGTGGAGGGAAACTAACAGGCCTCAAACCTATTGGTGAGTTAGGGTGATGTCTATTCCAAGCATCTGAAGACTTTCCATGGTGGAATGGGCAAATGAGAATAATTTGTTCCAATGGCCATGAAGGCAGCTAAAGCAGGCACTGTTGAGTGCTTAGAGCTTGGTCAGGCATCAAAGATGTCAAGGTCATCCACTGCATCACAGGATATTGCCTGGATGTCTTGACTTTTGTCTTACTATTGGACTTTGATGACTCAGGACAAGAGAATAAGGTTGAGGACTTTGTGCAACTCTGCCTCACTTAAATCTAATTCACATGCAAGTCAAGGTATCATCTGGGATCCTGGTGCTCTTTGAAAATAAAGGACAAACAACAACTCTCTGTCAAAGAATTAAAGGGCTTGTGAGGGAAGTTTAATTTATCTATGGTATATTCAAATTATCTATGGTATATTTAGACAGCAGTTAGGTGACACAGTGGATAGAGTGCTGTGATGGAGTAAGGAAGACTCCTCTTCATGAGTTCAAATCTGACCTCAGACACTTACTAGCCGTGTGACTCTGAACAGGTCACTTAATCCTGTTTGCCTCAGTTCCTCATCTGTGAAATGATCTGAAGAAGGAAATGCAAACTACTTCATTATCTTTGCCAAGAAAACCCCAAATGGGGTCACAAACAGTTGGACACGACTGAACAACAATAATATTTAGAAGTTTCTTATCTGATTGTGATGAGACTGTGGGCTCAGCTGCATTCCACTATCAAATAGTACATTTTTGTTATTCAGAGCTGCTCTAGCTCTGTGAGAAATATTATCAAAAATCCATAAAGTAACATATAATTAGCCACCTTTTCTCTTTTATTCCAGAACTCAAGGCAATTCTTTATACTTCCTTCACTAGCTTCTTCACTCCTTCTGTTTAAATTTGTTGATTCTATCTTCACACCACCTTGCCTATTTGTCCCCACCTCTCTATCCCTACTGTTACTATCCTGGTACAGATTTCATTACAACTTGCCGGGACAATTGTAAAAGCCTCCTAAGTGACCTTTCTGTCTCTGTTCTTTTTCCAATTGCCAGACTCATCTTCCTCATGCATATTTCTGGTTAGGTCCCTTCTGCTCCCTTGTTATTACCAAGTCATATAATATGGTATGACCTTGCTTTTCTGACCTTCTGTCAGAACCTTCTGCTCCTGATTACATTAAACTCCAGGAAAACTGGACCATTGCCAACCTCTATACACACCCTGTATTCTTACCTTCAGATCTTTGCTCAAATCATTTCCTATGCCTGCAATGCTCACTGAATTCTTATCTAACCTTCAAAGTTCAACTAACTTGCCACCTGCTTCAGGAATCTCTAATCCCTCCAGTTGAAAACCCATTTATATACATCTTACACCTTATTTAATCTTCAAAAAAATTCACGTGTCACATTTTATAGTGATTTGTGTCCCATCCCATTTCTAGACTGTAAGCTCAATGAAAGCATGGACTATGTCTAATTTAAATATTTTATCTGTCCCACTGCCTAGCATACAGAAGGCACTTAATAAATATATGTTCAACTGGGGGCAGAACAAAGTTCTGTACATTCAGAAAGGAAAACTTCTGCCCATAAGTCATGGAATCTGAGACTGCTGAGGAACAGTCTATTTCAGACATTATCCTTCCTCCTGACTGCATTCCCTTCCTTTTCTGAAATCATCTATGTCTACAACCTTCTATCTTACAATCTTTTATGCACTATGGTTCCTCCTGGCCTTTAACATCAGAATTGTAAATATAACAGATTGTATGACCTAATCTTAAGGGATCTAATCCAACCTCTTCATTTTACAGATGAAGAAACTAAGGTATTAAGAAACCAGAGATATTAAGTCACTTGCTCAAGGTCATTCAGTTAGTAAGGCTGTGATGTCTAGGAACCTATGTATTTGAACCTTAGTCCAATTATCTTCCATTTTTGAGATAAGAAGTGGTAAAACCAAAATTCAGATCCACTTCTGTAATCTAGCACTCTTTATACACATCTGGGGATTCTGCTTTTTCAGCCATACCTCGACTTTCTAAATGAAAGGTAATAAAATAATAATAAAGTGCTTTTATGTGCCAGGTACTAAGCTAAGCACATTACAAATATTATCTCCTTTGATTCTCACAACAACCCTGAGAGGTAGGTGCTATTATCTCCATTTACACCTGAGGAAACCAAGGCAAACAGAGATTAAGTAAGTTGCCCAAGGATGCACAATTAGGAAGTATCTGAGGCTGGGTTTGAACTCAGGTGAAGTTTTGGCTCTCACTAGAATATAACTTTGTCTGGGGAATAAAAAGAAGTTATGCTAATTTATGCTATTTACTCCTTATGAATTTTAATCAACAACACAGTCTGTATCCAGTGGGATACATACATACGAATAGATTAGTCTGCTTGTTCAAAGCATAGGAATTGATGCTCAGAAAATGACAGTAACACTGAGTGAGCTAATTTTATTTTAACATGCCAATTTTTTTAACACCATACTCTATGTTGATAAACCAAAGACATAATTTTGTAATATAATATTGTATATATACACATACACATGCACATATATATGTATATGTATATGTGTGTGTGTGTGTGTGTATATATATATATATATATATATATACACACACATCTATCTATCTATATATATATGTAATAGTTAAGGCATATTTACTTTGAACATCCCCCACATATAAATTATTTGAACATTTTAAAGAGTCTATAGCTTATGGGATAACTTACTTTTAATCCAAACTCTTGCCCCTCTAGAGGAATCCATAAAGTTATTGCCTCAGGAGTCAGAACCTTTCCTGTCACTGGATGTCTTCAAGCAGACTCATTGGTCAGTAATGCTACAGACAGATCCAAATATTGGTTGGATTAGTATTGAAGTTTCCTTCATCTATAGCATTTTGTGATTTACTTAAATTTTAAAAATATTTTTATTCAGTTTTTACTTATATCACACAGGCTATTTTTTTATTCTCTAAAAAAGCTTATGGCTCCAATGAACAGATAACTGACCCCCAGAAAAAGATACTCTGTTCATAATTATATATGCATATATACATATATACATATATATACATACATACATACATATACACATTATATATATATGTATACATATATATATATATACACACACACACACACACATATGTATGCCTGCCTCTGATACTTCAATTAAGTTTTCTTTCTATGAAATGCCACTTCATTTCCTTCCTTGCCTTATATGTAAATGATTGTTATCCATCTTTTTATTTAATTTTAAATGTTTTATTGAAGCTTTTTGTTTTCACATCACAGACATTTCTGGATACAGGTTTTCTGCTACTCCAACATTTAACCCTCCTTCGTAATAAAGAAAAAATTGATACAGTGAATGGGTGACACAGCTGATAAAATGTATGCAACATTCTTTCCTATGCACTCATTTTTTTTTAAAACAAAAGACCCACTTAGGTCTGCATTTATGTTTCCATTGATCTTTTAAAGAGTTCCAAGAGTTCTAGGAACTTTAGCATTACTCTCATATTCTCTATTTCCTTGTTTTGATAAAACATTTTCTAGAGTCCATATCTTATTTCCACAATAAGATAAAGGTTCCTCTAGGAAAGAACTAGAGACTTTTTTTTTAATTTCCCTAACAGCCCTTATGACTGCACTGAGAAAAGAACAGATATAAATGAGTGACTGTCTGAATGACTGTTCTAGGGAAAAGAAAAAGAAACTGAAAATGAGTAGCATTCTTTATGGAAGCCATCTTCTATTAGAATGTGTCCATTCTTCTAGAAGAAGGCAGTTGGGACAAAGATACTACATGACGTCAGAAAGAAAAGAGGTCCACACACTAAGAACCATGTGATGAGATTTCAAGAGGTAGAGAGGAGACTGCAACTCACTTGGGATCTGGCTGTCAGAGGCCTATTGGCCATTTCCTTCTGCATTCTTTGCTTTGGGGGAAAAGCAGAGTCCTGAGAATATCAAGCTGAGATAAAGACAAAAAAAAATAGGAGCAGCAAATGGTGGGGAGAGGGGGGGAAGGAGAAAAAATCCCTTCCTGTTGTTATTTTAGAGTGCTTTGCTGCACTTGGTGACTCAAAAACAGAAAACCAGCCCTCTGAATTCAATGGCCAACATGGTAAGTATGAAGGAGAAAGGGGTGCTGTGGTCCTAAAAATCTAAGGAGAGCCCCTGGTAGTCTCTTTGATACACAAATGAACACAGATTGCTATGAACTAAGTTCTCCAAAAAGATAAGGCAAAGCAGCACCAGGAGGAACAGTAGTCAAAGGAAATTCCAAAGAGACCTTTTGGAGGTAGCCTGGTATTACTTAAAAGAGCACCATATCAGAAGATTCGGCAACAATTCCTGGGCCTGCCAGGATAGGACTTTTTCTAAGTCCTACTTCTCTGAGGATTCTGAAAAGTTGTTCCATTACACAAAAATCTGCTTTTTCATGACCAATAATCTGCCTCTTTCCTGATAAAAGAGAGTTTGAGTTTTAGAAGTCTCAGGTCAGGTGTGTCCTCTAGGCAAGATACTTACTTCATAAGACCTCTCTCTACCTCAGCTCTCTTGTCTCCTTAGAAAGAACCTTTCCTCTGATGAATACAAGTCACTTCCTTTCTTTAGGAATGAGTCATTTTCTTCACCTGTAAAATAAAGCGATTGGACTAGATAATCTGTGCCACTCTATGACTACTCAGGCACACAGGTGTGTATGGAGCTCTTATCAGATACATACTTCTCATTTTAACACCACCCACCATATTCTTAGAACCAGGAAATTGAGACAAACCTTCCTTCTTCCCCTAGCATCCTCCACTGACATCAATGGTACTCAGTCACTAGAGTGTGGTTAGTCATACCCATGGTCAAACAAAGTCAAAGAGAAGGGTCATGCAATGGAAACAAACAGACGATCATACCTAGAGGGTTAGACCCACACTAGGATCATGAACACTGTCATCTAACATGGTCATATCTCCAGACAACCATATACCTAGAATCAAGCACCCAGCTGGTCACCTGACATAGCAGAACATAAGTAATGATAATCATACACATAGCCTCATATATCAGACCCACTCACACACATGTATGCATGGGTACACAGAGACAATTACACACAGATGTGACCACAAATAACCACACAAATGCATGCACAAAGGCAATAACATACACACACAAGGTCACAACCATACACAAACACATATGGTCATACATACAAGTGCTCACACACACTAATGTAATGACACACCCATAATTGGTCACATACACACATGTCACCAAAAAACACACAGCAAATAAACACATATAGTCATTCCTTCACAAACACAGTCAGGCATACAGAAGACCACACTCAAACACATATATAAAATCACACAAAGTGAACAAACACACACACACACACACACACACACACACATCTAAGATCACATAGAGGTGACCCCATACCTAAGACCATATGCATTTGAAAACAATTAGAGCCACACAGAAGTAATCACACAAACATGAGTACATGATCTTGCACGAATGGCTTCCTTGGTGTATGTCTACACATACATGATCATTCACACAGCTAACCACACACAGATCATACACATACAAGGTCATGCATCCAGGTTACCACACACTTAGGCAACCACAAACAGATGACCACATAACAGGTGAACACATAAATGGTAATATAACAGGGGCACTTGTGGGAGACCATAAAGGTCACACAACTGAGTCATGCATGTAGACAACCACATATACACATAAAGTCACACTCAGTAACGATTTTACCTACTCATACAAGGTCACACAGGCAACCAGATAAGAGGCCATGAATACAGGAGACCCTCTCCTCCCTTTCTTTCTCGTCAACATTCACCAAATGTGCTCCCCTAGCCCAGTGACACACACAGAGGCGACCACGCAATATGGTGACAGGGCACATCAGACTGTCACACTGTCAAATGGAGAACTGCACCACAGGGTCACACAGCAAATTAGGCACAGGGATGGTCACTCACATGGGGTAATGCACACTGAGGCAGCAGGGAGCAGTGGAAGAGTGCCCGACCCGGGGGGCAGCGGATGGGAGTTCGGGCTGAGTTCTGACGTTTACCACCTGAGGGACGCCCCACAAGTCCCTTCCCTGTTCCTCAGTTTGTCATGTTTAAAGCCAAAGGCTTGGATGAGAAGACCTCCAGGGGCCCCTCCGGGTCTCGGATCCCGCAGAGCCGCCCTGTGGGACGGGCAGGCTCAGCCCAAGCCTCGGTCTGGTCCTGGGATCCCGGGCAGCCTGAGGGGCTGAGGTCCGAGCACGCGAGGTTGGAGGGTCCGAGGAGTCCCAGTGGCATACGCGGCCGCAGCCTTGCACCTTGTTCTCTCGGCTGCCAGCCAGTCCCCAAGCTGGAGCACAGACTGAAGCAGGGGAAAGGGGATGGAGCCGGACTCACCTTGAACTTGGAGCTGACCTGACGGACAATGCACCAAACCCGGAGAAAAGGAAACTGCGCAGAAGCCTGGGCAGCGCCACGCCGCTCAACTACCATTCCCAGAATCCCCCGGGGCGCCCCACCTCCGTCTCCCGGCATCCTTCGTGCCTGGAGCCTGGCATTTGTCGCATACCCTCCGGAGCCGGAGCTTGAGCCGCGGACGACGTGGTGCTCCTTGGTGTGCAGCCATTCTGACTCTGCACCCGTTTTTAAATCTGTTTGGGGGGGGGGGGGGGGAGGTCGGAATGGCGGTGTTGGCGTCCTGGGGTGGAGAGGACAGAGAACGTGTATATGGACGTCTTGGTCTCCCTTGCACCCAGGAGAGAGAGGGGGCGGGGGGCGGGGGCGGAGAAGGAGGTGTGATGGGTGTGGCGAGCTAGAAAGGAGCTGCTGCGGGCCTAGGCGGGGCTGAGGCCCGCGCCACACCCTTTCCTCGGGGAGGAGAGCCCTGTCTGGCCAAGAAGTGGGGACCTAACCTCCGCAAATCGCCCCTTCCCCTCCCCATCCCTTGTCCTAATCGGTTCTTAATCCTAGGCTGATTCACAATGGTTTAGGATCATCATATGAACTCCATCTCCAGACCCTAGTTTAGCTCGCCTTCTTGACTTAAGGGCAGGCTTAGTGCAAACCAGTTTCTTCTGGGGCTGAGTCAGGATGAAGGAAGAAGTGCTGACTGTATGCAAAGCTCTGGCGATACAGAGAGTAGAGCGAGGAGAATCTCTGCTCTCCAGAAGCTGATTCTCTAGTAAGGGAGACAGCACGGAGATTTCAGCTGAGAGTCAGTTGGAAACTCCTTGGGGTACTTAGGATACAGTAGCAAAGCAGATGATAATGTATCAGAAATGTCATTTTCACTTAAGAAAATTACATTATTTTATGATATTGAAACATTTGATAGTGCTAAGGAATTGGGTGGAGAAAACTGTTTTCTAGTTGTGAAGTCTTTCTTGCCGCTGATGAGGCAGGGGCTACAAATATGTAGAAAGTTTCCAGGTGACATCTTCAGAAGCAAGAAACTGGTGTAAAAACTGAGAGTCAAGCTTCTAAGAGGGTTAACAATGATAGAACTAGTTGAGGCTTAATGGATGCAAAGCATATTAATCTATAGGACTTTGGGGAGTTGATTTGTTGGGTCTTAAGCTTTCATAACTGTATCTGCCTGAAGATTGTGATGTCAGGGAACATAGGTGATATTGAAGTGGAACCTGCAATAATATTATAGCTTAAGCATTATGCATTAAGCCATGTATTCTGAAAATATTCTATATGTTCTCATGGTCTGTGTAGGTCAGTGGTGTCAAATTCAATAGAAAGGGCCCCTGCTGGCCGCATAGATTTAGAAAACCACATATAAATATTTGTTGTATTTTTTTAAATTGTTAAACATTTCCCAATTACATTTTAATCTAGTTTTCTTGGGAGTTTTGAGTTTGACATCTTTGCTGTAGGTAATGGTGAGATACCATGCTCCTTCAAAAATGACACGTGTAGCCCTATAAGCATCTCCAGCTGTTAGGTACAATAGGTTTTTTTTCTTCCTGTCCCCATCAGTTTCTGGAAGAAGTATGTGTAGAGACAGAATGTGAGCAATAGTAGTATGGCCCATGAAAAGAGGGCCCCTTGGCAACACTGGATGATGCGTTGTTCTCTGTCTCTCTGTCAAAAGAAAGATTGGGGGTGATGCTGTCAAGGCAGAGAAGATAGGGATAAATTGTCAAGTCACCATACAAAGTCAAGGAACATCTGTAGATAGCTGGCAGAGATGGGGATCACTGCTACAATAAGGCATCCATTAGGATTCCCCACTGTCCTTTTGAATGCCTCAGGGACTTCCAGCTTTTCTTCAAATTGTAATTTGTGCAGTTTTTCAAGTAGCTGGTGCTGATGGAGATATTGGAAGATGGGTTAGACAAACTATGCGTGCTGGACAGGGTCCTGGAAATAGATGAGGGTATGATCAAGATAAATTATAAGTACATGATGAGGGAAGTTGTGGCTAGGAAGCACTTTTTATGGGAAAAGAGCCAGAGATTTTTGTGGCCCAGTAAGGGCCAGAAGTGTCAGTCAATAAGCATTTATTAAAATGTCTTCTATGTGCCAGGTCCTTTGCTAAGAGTTGAGTATATAAAGAAAGGCAAAGGACAGTCCCTGTCCTCAGGGAGCTCACAATCTAATGGGGAAGACAAAATGCAAATAATTTATGTACAGACAAGCTATATACAGGATAAATGGCCCGGGGCGGGGGGGAATCACAAAGAGAAGGCACTACTATTAAGAAGAATAGGAAATTAACAGAAATCATATGATTATCTCAAAAGATTCAGAAAAAGCTTTTGACACAATACAACATCTATTCCTATTAAAAACAATAGAGAGCATAGGAATAAGTGGAATTTTCCTTTAAATGATAAGTAGTATCTATCTAAATCCAGCATCTATCTAAATAAATTGTATGCGGTAACAGCAACATTGTGTGCTCAAGCGTTGTATGTAATGAGGATAAGCTAGAAGCATTTCCAGTAAGATCAGAGGAAATAAGGATGTTCATTATCATCACCGTTAATCAATGTTGTACTAGAAATATGAGCTTTAGCAATAAGAGATGAAATAGAAATTGAAGGAATTAGAATAGGCAATGAAGAAACAAAGCTATCACTCTTTGTAGATGATATGATGGTATATTTAGAGAATCAACTGAAAATTTCTTGAAATAATTAACAACTTTAGCAAAGTTGCAATAAAATAAACCCATGTAAATCATTGGCATTTTTGTATATTACTAAAAAAGACCAACAGCAAGAGATAGAAAAATTCCATTTAAAGTAATTGTAGACAATATAAAATATATGGGAGTCTACCTGCAAGACAAACCCAGGAACTACATGAACAAAATTACAAAACATTTTTCACACAAATAAAGTCAGATCTAAATAATTAGAAGAATATCAGTTGCTCATAGGTAGGCTGAGCTAATATAATAAGAATGACAATTCTACCTAAATTAATTTACTTATTCAGTGCCATACCAAACAAAAAAAATTTTATTATAGAGCTAGAAAAAATGATAACAAAATTCATCTGGAAGAACAAAAGGTCCTGAATATTAAGGGAATCAATGAAAAGAAATGCAAGGCAAGGTGGCATAGCCATTCCAGATCTTAAATTGTATTATAAAGCAGTAATCATCAAAAGTACTTGGTACTCACTAAGAAATAAGGTGGTGGATCAGTGGAATAGGTTAGGTACACAAGGCACAATAGTCAATGACTATAATAATCTACCGTTTGATAAACCCAAAGACTCTAGCTTCTGAGATAAAAACTCACAATTTGCCAAAAACTGCTGGGAAAACTGGAAAATAGGATGGCATAGACCAACATCTTACACCATATACCAAGATAAGGTCAAAATGGGTACATGATTTAGACATAAAGGGTGATACCATAAGTAAATTAGAAAACAAGAAATAGTTTATCTGTCAGACCTATGGAGAATGGAACAATTTATTACCAAACAAGTGATAGAGAACTATGAAATGTAAAATGGATAATTTTGATTACATTAAATTAAGGTTTTGCACAAACAAAGCCAGCGTAATTGAGATTAGAAGGAAAGCAGAAAGCTGGGAAACAATTTTTACTGCCATTGTCTGAATGCAGATTGAAGCACACTATCCACTGCACTGCCTAGCTGCCCTTGCTGTGGACAGTTTGCTGTTTCTTTCTCAAGTTTAACATTCCATGTCTTGCCTCTTTGCCCTTTTATAGTCTGTCCTCTCTTCCTAGAATGTAGGAGTCGTTATGTTGACCTCTTCGAATCCTTAGGTTTCTTCAAGATTCATCTAAGGTGCCACCACCTGATGAAAGAAGCCTTTCTTGATCTAGTTGTTAATGCCTTCTCCCTCCTCAGACTGCATACTTTGTCACTTTTGTACCCCCCTTCTTCTACTAGAATGTCATCCTGTTAAGCTGAAGTACTGTTCTTTTGTTTTGATATCTCCAACACCTACCATAGAAATGCATTTTTACTTCAGTTGTTTATACTAAGAGCAGAAGGTAGAAGTTGCAGAGGTAAATTTAAGCTGAAGTAGAAAAACTTCCAATTAGAGCTCTAGAAAAATGGAATGGGTTGCTTTATGAAGCACTGAATTCTCCTTCACTAGAAACTTCAAAAAAAGACTGGATGACTTTGTTGGGGTAGTTGTAGAGGGTCTTTCTCTTGAAATATGGATTGGAGTGAATGGTATCAGAGGTCTTGTCCAAAAAGAGATTCTTTAAATCTGTGACTACTATCATCTGATCGAATACTTTTGCATTTGTGATGCATTGCATTTATGATCATTGAAAGACTAGAGACATTGCAGAAAGCAGACAGTTTAACTAAGTGACCATAGAGGCCATTCTGAGTCTGGAAGGCCATCTTGTATTTGTTTTCCCTACATATCCAGGTCATGTGGCCTCTGGAGTTCCATTTTGGTAGTTATCACTGCCATGCCAACTACTCCATCAGATTTTGTATCGTGGGTAGGGATTCTGGACAATGATAATGTTATGGACAAACTGTCCTTAGGACATCTACTCTCAGATGGACCATCAATTAGCTGAGTAACCACAGTGGCCTTTTGCCTGTTGCTAAAGTTTGATTACTATATGTAAATGAGTGTTTACTCCTACTTATGCCCAGGTTGCCTTCCAGCAATGTAAAATATACCATATTATATACCCTACACAGTATGGGCATGAACAGTTTGTTTCTTGTCAGTTACTACACACTAACCAACACACTCCAGCATCCAGGCTTTCTTCAAAAGTGATAGCCACTCACATCTGCTTTCTTTGTGCCTTGGCCCTGGTCATGAGCCATGTTACTAAGTATTAAACTAAGTCTGAAATGTTAGACTTGTATTAGAAGTTATTGGGGTCTGTTTTACCAGCCCTCTAAACTCTTACTAAAAAGCAAATGAAAAATGAAAAAAAAAATTCTTGCATTTGAATGGTTAGAGATCATTAGATATTCCCTTGAGGAAGAATTCTCTTGCCTGCAATATTTGGTGTAAGGCTGTAAGTACTCTAGGTCCTCGAGTATGGCCCTTGGACTGAATCCAAACTTCACAGGACAGATCTTTTGAGGAGGCCGCAGATTCCCCACCCCAGATTTAAACCATACTCCATACTGAAAACAAGAATCCTTACATGGAGGTGTTCATGGTGGTGATGCTGCACATTAACATTGGGCTGTAGCACTGGTGCTTTACACAGAGAAGTGCTTAACAAATGTTTGTTGATTGATTGAGAATATCCTTTAAAAATATCCCTTATCTCATCTCATTCTTCTAACTACCGACTCTTCTCTGCTGTACTGCCTCCATTTCCTTATTCCTCTTACTTTTCTGCAATCAGGCTTGATTGGAAGCCCTACTCTACTGAAGCTACTCATTCTAAGATCACCAGTGACCTGCTAGTCTCCAAATTCTTCCCTTCCTTTTCACTGTAGTTCAAGTAGGTTAGAAAGTCACTGTTCTAGGATGTTGCTGATGGGCTTGCTGGTCAGGTATGAGTTGGACTGAATGGCCTTTGAAGGTCGATGCGGTTTTGAGATTTCCTGATTCTTTAAATGGTGAGCCAGCAGGAAGGCTCGTTAACACATTCACATAAGTAAATATTTCAAGAGCAACGATCCACACTCCTTTGTAAAATGAATGGGTTGGAGTATATCATAGAATTATGAATTTAAAGCTGAAAGGGACCTTTGAGGTTGTCCAGTTTAAGCTTCTCATTTCTGATGAATTAATGGAGGTCTAGAGAGATTAAGTGATTTGCTAAAGGTTATACAGGCAGTCCATGGCAAAAGCAGCAACTCTGACTGCAGGTACATTCTCTGTCCATTGTACCATACTAACAGCTTTGCCAGTCTGTCAGTTATTTAAGCATCTGTTAAGTACCAAGCCCTGTATCTGGAGAGGAGCCAAATATAAGAAGATGAAAAGTAAGAAGGGAACAGATCGTGAAGGGCTTTAAATGCCAAATCAAGCATTTTATTTTTGATCTTAGAGGTGATGGAAAAAATGGAGTTTTTTGAAGGAGGGTGTGGGTTGAAAAGGGTCAGGCTTGAGCTTCAATAACTTTGGCAGCCAAGTAGAGGATGTATTGGAGTGAGGAGAGATGAGATACATAGACCAGCCAGAAGGCCGTTACAATAGTTCAGATGATGAGGGCCCACACTAGGTGGGATGGTGGCAGTGGAAGTGGTGAGAAGGGGATGTATGTGATTTAAAGGTAGAAATGAGACTTAACAGCAGTTGGGATATCTGAGATGAATTCAAGTGAGAAATAGAGATGACCCTGAGGTTGCAAGTCTGATTGACTGGGAGACTTGTACCTTCAGCAATAAATAGGGAAGTTGGAGGGGGTAGAAGTTGGGAGAGATAATGAGTCGTTTTGGACATGTTCCAAAAGTCAGTTGAGGACACAAAAGTAGTGCTCAGAAGAGAAATTAAAGTTGGATAAATCTAGTGGGATAATATGGAAGGAAAAGAGAAGGCAGCCCAAGGCAGAGCCTTTTGGGATATCCATGAGTAGTAGGCATGGCATGGATGAAGAACCACCAAAAGAGTGAGAAAGAGTCTAAGATGTTATAATTCTGGAATCCAACTTAGATATACTTAAGGTCAGCCCCATAGTATTGGCAAGCTTCCTTAAATGGCAAGAATGGGCAGTACACATGGGCAGAAGTGAGGTCCAAACTACATTTCCCAGAATGCTGAGAGTACTTGTTGCCTAACCATTTTTTAAAAAAACCCTCCAGGATTAAGGGCCCCAGGGGTTTTTTGCTCTGTGCCATCTGGGAAATGGAATCTGGACATGAAGTGCTTTGACCAGAAGGCTTCTGGGAAGGGTAGTTCATCAGCTCTGCAGGTGTCAAGAGCCTTAGTTTGGCTACGTGGCAGTTGCTGGTGCCTTTGTTCTCTGGAGGCTCCTGGTTGGTGAGTCAGCCCAGGCTCCTCCTCCTCAGAAGGATGCAGACACAGAGGGAGGGAGAGGTAGAAGAGCCTGGCCAAGGGTTAGAGGGGCTGGGGGAGGGATAGAAATCAGAGGGGCTGCAGGTAGGTGTGATCTTGTCATTGTCCTTGGGTCTGTGTGTTGAAAGAGGAAAGGACCCTGCATCCAGGGGTCTGTATGTCTGTCCATGTGTCTCTGTGTGAAGAGAGGGCAGAGGACCACATTCGTACAGGTGTTTGTGGTAAGAGAAAAACTGAAGAAGCACAGAACTGTGTTTCCTGTGTGACAGAGGCGGGGAAAGGAACTCTGTGTGTGTGTGTGTGTGTGTGTGTGTGTCTATGTGAGAAAAAAGAGGAGCCTAGTCTCCCTGCCTATATGTATGAAAAGAGGAGGAGATATTTGTGAGCATGTGAGATGGAGACAGGGAGCATTTATTAAACACTGTATACCAGGAATTGTGCTAAGTGATGGGCATACAAAGAAAGGCAGAAAAATAATTCCTGCTCTCAAAGAGCTCACAGTCTAATAGAGAAAACATGTAAACAACTCTGTACATGCAAGATATATGGGGTACTTTGGAGGTAATCTCAGAGGGAGCTGTGTGACTGACAGGGAGGGTGGAGAAGCCCTATGTATGTGGGGAGGAGAAGAGGGGTGTGTGTGTGTGTGTGTGTGTATGTATGTATGTATGTATGTATGTATGTATGTAAGAGATTAATTCTGTGTCAGTGGTCTCTGGGTAAAGAGACAACCCCTAAGGTGTCTGCCTGTGAAAGGGGAGGAACCTTGTGATTTTCTGTGAGTAAAGAGGACTAGAGACTCTGTGTGTGTGTGTGTGTTTGTGTTTGTGTGTGTGTTGAGGGTAAGGGGAAGGATGTGTCTGTGTGTGTGAGAGGAGAGACTAGCTCCTGTGTTTTAAAAAGAGTGAGACTGTAGGGATAGGGAGGAGTTAGGACTGTTTCAGAGAAGACCCCTGTGTATATGTATGTGTATGTGTCCATATCCCTGTCTTTGGGTGTGAAAAGAGGAGGAGCCCTGTGTCTCTGTGTGAGAGAAGGGTAGGGGGAGCCTTGTGAACGTGTGTTTTTGTGTGCATGCATGTGCATAGTCTGCACATGAGTGACCCTGTGTTTGGATCAGAGGAGAGTTGCTCTGTGTGTGTGTGTGTGTGTGTGTGTGTGTGAGTCATCTAGTATTTGTTAAGTACCTACTGTGTGCCAGGCATTGTTCTAAGGGCTGGGAGACAAAGAAAGACAAAACCCAGTCCTTGCTATCAAGGAGCTGACAAACTAACAGAGACAACATGCAAACAATTATGTACAAACAAATTGTATTCAGGAGCAATTATAGATAATCAGTAGAGGGAAGGAACTGTCATCAAGGAATCATGGGAAAGGCATATAGAAAATGGGATATAAGAAAGAGAAGAGATAAGACATGCAAACCTGTGTATGTGTGAGGAGAGAGGAGCTCTGTGTGTAAGTAGGTATGCAAGTGTGTGAGAGGGGAGGAGCCCTGTGTATGAGTGTGACAGGAGGGTAGAGGAATACCGTGTGTGTGTGTGTGTGTGTGTGTGTGTGTGTGTGTGTGTCTCTGTCTGTCTGTCTTCTTGTCTGAGAAAGAACAAGAGCCATTGTCCCTGTGTTTGTGTGTGAGAAAAGGAAAGGAGCCTGGAGTCTATGTGTAAAAAGAGGGGACTTGTGCCTGTGTGTGTGAAAGGAGAGGAGAGAAGCCATTTACCCCTGTGTTTGTGTGAGAGGAACCCTGTGTTTGTGTGTGTGACAAAGAAGGGGAAAGGTAGGGGGTGTGTGTGTGTGTGTGTGAGTGTGTGTGTGTGTGTGTGTGTGTGTGAGAGAGAGAGAGAGAGGTATACTGTATATGTGTAGATACATAAATCTGTGTGTGAGAAGAAAGGAACTCTTTGTGTAAAAAGAGGAACTCTGTGTACACACACACACACACACACACACACACACACACACATATTTAAAAAGAGAGAGGAGCCTGTGTGTGTTCATGTGTGAGAGGAGCCCTGTGTGTGGAACTAAAGTGGGAAGCAGAACACTGTATGGGGGAGGAAGGTGGAGTAGGAGGGAAGGAGAGCACTGTCTTTGTGTGTGGGAGAGAAGCCCTGGGTATCTCGGTTTCTGTGCTGTGTGTGTGTGTGTGTGTGTGTGTGTGTGTGTGTGTGTGTGTGTGTGTATGTGTGAAGAGAGAACCTATATGTCCATGTGTCTTTATGTGTGAAAAGAGAAGCCCAGTGTGTAAGAGAGGAGGGGAAAAAGCACTCTCTATATGTGTGTCTGGCAGGAGAGGAGCTGTGTGTATGTGTGTGTAGGGTGGGGGAGAAAGAGGAGCAGAAGACTGGAGCTCTGTATTCCTGTGTCTGTCTCTCCTTAAAAAAAAGTGGACCCCTGCTTCTTTGTGCATGGAAATATGAAAAGAAGGAGTCCTGTGGCTGTGGCTGTTTTTGTGGAGAGAAGCTATGTGAGTGTGTGTGTGTGTGTGTGTGTGTGTGTGTGTGTGTGTGTGAGAGAGAGAGAGAGAGAGAGAGAGAGAGAGAGAGAGAGAGAGAGAGAGAGAGTGAGAGAGAGAGAGAGAAAGAGAGAGAGAGAGAGAGAGAGAGAGAGAGAGAGAGAGAGAGAGAGAGAGAGAGAGAGAGAGAGAGAGAGAGAGAGAGAGAGATGAACCCTAGGTCTGTGTCCATAAGAAAGAAGGAGGGCAGGGAAGCCCTGTGTATGTAGTAGAAGAGAGGAGCCCTGTATCGTTGTGCCCATGTGTCCATGCTTCAAGTGTGAGAGGTACAGAGTGTTTGGTGTTCTGTGTCTGTGTGTGTAACAAGAGAATAATTGTCTGTGTGTCTGTCTGCATTAGGAGGAGCCCCAGTTCTGTGCATCTCTGTTTCTGTCTATGGAGGAGAAAGAAGAGAAGCCTCATATGTGTGTGTGCATGCTTCTCTTTGTGTTCAGCAGTTTGTGTACATACCTTTTTGACCGTGGTGCCACCTGCAGCTTTACTTACCAGATTGTAAACTCCTTGAGGGCAAAAAGTTTGTGTTCTTCATGAAAGCTTTGATCTCCCATAAGACCTAGAACACTGCAGTGAGTTAATTGTGGAATGAATGAAACTTACTGTTGGGTTTATTTGTTATGTGTCTCTAGTTGCCTCTGGAAAGCCCTGAAGTCATTGAGACTGAGGCTGTTAGTCTCCACTTGTGACTTAAGCCTTTGTTTACTTACAACAGTCCTGGGAGAGTTTTAAGGGACCTAGCCTGGGACACCAAGGGGAATACATTCACTGTAGGGGAATGAGATATGAACTCCAGAGTGAAGATGGTCCCATCTGAAGGGAATTTACTTTTCCTTCTACAGAGTCCTTCTCCAAAAGAAGGTGAAGATAGAAGAGGCCACTCCTGAAGAACGAGACCTCTCTTAGGAGGACACACATTGGGGCTTTCTGTAGAACCTTTGTGTGGAGTTGGTGACTGCTAGAATAATTCCTGACCATCTTGCTCTTAGGAGACAGTAGTTGGAGGAAAACGGAGCATCCAGTGAACGACAAAGGAGTGACCATGGAAGATCTGGTGAACATGTTTGAGAAGAAAGGTGAGGATTACAAAATGTGAGAAGGTAGAAATCTCTGCAGTGAGAGACAAAGGCAAATAGCACTTAGGGGAGGGTATGTGGGTGAGTAGGTCAGGAAGGATCAAAATCCATAGCTGACCCTAATTTCTGTCTTTTGCTTGGCTCTTTGTTCCCACTTTCCATTTTTCCTTTGGCTCCTCCTTCTCTCTTTTCCCCACATCAACTTCTTTTCAGTCTTGGACTGATCTAGTCCTTTGGCCACTAGCATGAAATGTATCTAGGGTACATTGATTCCTCAATCTATCCTGCTCAAAATGTGAGAGGAAACCCCCCCCCCCAAACAACAACAACAACAACAACAAAAACCACTCTCCTCTTTATTCAGCCAAGATAGGTTGTAGTTTTTTTTTCCTGAAAGGGACTTTCATTAAAAGAAAACAAAAGAGAGAAAAAAAACCTACATTGTGCACAAAAGTATAAAAATGATGAGTTTCCTGAGTGAAGTTTTCTGATACAGAGGAGAATGACTGCCCCAGCCTGTGAGTATGCCTGGCCCTAGCTCTTTTCTGTCTCCTACACGCTACCTGGGAAACCTGCCCCAAAGCTTCCATTTTCAGGTCTTTGATGGTCTACCCTCACAATCCCTCCTTCATGTATCCTAATATTCCTAGGGAAGGACTGGCTTAGGAACTTGGGTCCTAAGTTTGATAAGATAATGTATTGTTAATTGGGTGATGGTTGCAGTGGTTGCGGGGGAAAATTTTTCAGTAGGGACACATTAGAAAATCAGAGTTGTGGCATATTGTATCCAGACTTACAATATGATTGCATAGCCTTTTCAGTACTTTTTGAACAGTATAGTGAAATTTTTTTCTACCAAATAGGCTAGTTTTATCAGTAATTTTTCTTTTTTTTTTGGCTAGGCAATGGGGTTAAGTAACTTGCCCAGGGTCATACAGCTAAGTGTTATGTGTCTGAGGCCGGATTTGAACTCAGGTCCTCCTGAATCCAGGGCTGGTACTCTATCCACTGTGCCACCTAGCTGCCCCCTAGCTTTATCAGTAATTGAACAGAGTTGGGGAGAGGAAGGTCTCCTTGGCTTTAGGGTATGATGGGCTCACAGAGTGAGTATATTCATAGTCTTAGTATGGCCCAATGAAATATTTAGCCCTGGTCTCCCCTTCTAACTCTCCTGTGAGAAAAAAACAATGCCCTTGGCATTAGGATCATAGGTCTAGATAAAAGTGAGTTAACAGGTAAAAAAAACAGTGAAGGTGAGATTTGAACTCATGTATCCCAAATCCAGGAACCCATTCTCCTTCCATTGGTTATTCCTATGGGAGGGCAATAGCCCAATCACCCGCCCTTTATAAATCTCTTATGTGGTTTCTGTGGTAGTGGTTGTATTTGTAGTTTGTTTATGAATTAAACTTTTTACTTGACAAAAAGATTTCTGTTTTATTATCTTATTTTATCTCCACAAGAACAGGAGAGACTGGTAGGATGGACATTTACAATTATTTTACAAACGTGCAAATCATGATTGGAGAGATAAAGAGAATTGCTTTGAATCCCACAGCTAGTTAGTGACAGAAAAAGGTTTATACTCGAACTAGTTCTGTGCTCTTTCTTTTGGGCCACATTGCTTCACTGACAATAAAATCAAAGTATGCTTTCTCTGAAGAATCTGGAAAACTGAAGTAGGGAAATGGCAATATTTTTCTTTATTAAGTGAGGAGGTAACTGAAGCAGAGAGGGTATATCACATTGATTATCAGTGCAGATGAAAACAGCTTTGAATTCATGTCATGTGGTCTGATTCTAAGAATGCAGAGTTCCATCCTCAGAGTTCTGATTTTAAGGATGCAAGCTAGGAAGCGGATAGGGATCCTACTGGAACCCCTTTGACCTGTGTATGCTTGAGGAAGTGGTCAAAGTCAAATGCAGTGTTTCAATTTCTAGCCTTGTAGGTTTGAGAGTTGTAGGATTATCTCTCTTATGGCTCTTTTTTCTTTCCCAGCTCTGCCTGAGAAGTATGACCTTCTCCCCAAACAGAGCACAGAGGTGGAGGAAATGACCTCTGGGCTCCTGGCATCCAGATCCCAGGTGAGCTGGGCTTTCTTCTCTCTCTTTAAAAACCACATCATCTTTCACTGAGTATAAAGGTTTCTTTCTCTTGTTCTGAAGATTTTTTATCCAACAAAGTTGGACCTGAGCTCAAATTGTTCTTACTGAGGAGGATGGTTGATGAAGGGTCTAAACTAGTATTTCCAACTTACTTAGTGTCTTATTTCAGTATTTTTTGTCTCTGCCTTGTTCAGTCAACCAGTTATTCAGGCCTGTATGTACGGTTCCCTATTATGGAAAGGTCTGTGAACAGAACAAAAGTAGAAGACACATATTGTATACGCCCAGTAGAATGTAAGCCCTTTGAGGGCAGAAATTTTTTTTTTTGTCTTTGTATAATCAGCACCTGTATAGTATCTTACACTTAACCGGTGCTTAATATAAATGCATGGGTGAAGATACAGTCCTTGCCCTTAGAGGGATTCTAAGAAGGTAGAAACATACTGTTTTTTTAAATTTTTAATTTTTTGATATATTTTATTTTCATGCAGTAGATACTTCCCAACAGACACCTAAACAAACTTTTATATCGTTAACTTTAACTTTTTTGTGCCTAATAAAAACAATAATTATAATGGTTATTTCTTTGTACTTAGTCTCCCCTATGTGTATGCATCTTAAATTCCTTGAGGGCAAAGATTATGTGTATAAAGTACATTCTGTGAAGTGGAATTTATTGATTTTTCTATTTTGTTTTTAAAAATTTATATATTTTGTTTTGACATGGCAGACTTCCTAACAAACATTCAAAGAACCCCCCTTCCCCTTATGAAGTTAATTCAACAGAACTTCATGAAAAAGTTTATTGATAAGCAAAGCAAGATGGGTCCTTTAACTTTGACTGCATATTTCTAACATTGACAATTAAACCAGAATTTTGTTTCTTTTCCATGTCAACTTTATCAACATTGTTGTAGACATTATATTCTTTTGGCTCTGCTTTCTTTTATTTTTTGCATATCACTTCATACAAGCATTCCCATGTTTTTCTGAATTTTTCAAATTCCTCATTCTTTATGAATAAGTAATGTTCCATTATATTTATATGCCAGGATTTTTCAGCTATTCCTCATTCATTGGGTGCATTATACATAATGCTACCATGAACATTTCTGTACCAGTGGACCTTTTGATACCTTTTCTTGGCATAATTCCAAATTTTCTAGAATATTTGAAATCATGGCTTTGCCAGCAGTGAAAGAGCATGCTACCTTTTCCAAAAATCTACGCTGTTATGTTTTCCCATATTTTTGCATGTTTATTAGCTTGATGGGTGTAAGGTGATACCTCAGGGTTTTTAAATTTATTTTAATACGTTGCATGCATACGTTTTTGTTTTTATGTCAATCAGTCACCTACTGGGCCTTTTCCTGTAACAAAGGAAAAAAAATTTGATTATAACCAACTGATAAAATGACTAGGTATGAAACATTCTGTACCTATAGGCCCTCTCTGCCTCAATACCAAAAGGAGGGAGATATATTTCATCAGCTGTTCTTTTGGACTAATTAGAGTTGTTTTAATTTATATTTCTATGGTTTTGGACTTTTTTTTTCAGGTAGCTATTGGTAGTTTGCATTTTCTCTTTTGAAAATAGTGTTCTGACAGAGTGTCTATTAAGGAATGCCATTTAATCTTACATATTTCTGTCAACTTCTACATATTTTTGAATATCAGATTTTACTAAACATACTTAGTAAAAAGAGTTTTTCCTAACCCATACCTTTTTTTTCTAATTATAACTGTATTTTTTAAAAAAATTCTTCAGATGCTTTTAAAATTTTATATAACCACAATTATCTAGTTTACTTTTATGAGCATTCCTATCTTGGGTATGGTTATGAATTTTCCCTTATCCATAATTTTGAAAGATATAATACTCTTCTCTGTCTCTGTCTCTCTGTCTCTCTCTGTCTCTCTCTCACACACACACACACACACACACACTGCAATAGCATTACATTTAGATATTTTATCCATTTGAATTTATTGTGTCTATGGCTTAAGCTTTGACCTAAACTTATTTTTCTGTACTGCTTTGCAGTTTTCCTCATAGTTTTTTTTCCATTAAAAAAGTCTCTTTTTCAGTAGTTTGTGTTTTGGGTTTATTGGACACTATATTGAAATGCACATGTATTACTAGGTCTTGTCTAACAAGTACATTGTTGAAATAATTGACTAAGGAATTCAGCGAGGGTAGGGAAGCATGTGAAAAGAAAAGAGGATTAATTGACTAGGAGACTAGGAAAGGTGACCAGCCAATATGGTAAAATAGGAGGAAGCAGTACAGCCCAGCTCTTTCTCACAATTATTCTGGTGATAATTTAGGAAGATTGCTAGACTCAATCCTGATAGAGAAATCTAAGGAAAAATTAAAGAGTCATTTTTCTTTTCAGCCCAAGTTGGCATAAGGAGACAGGCCTACAGACAACAGGGTAGGATTTTAGGCAGGAAGGCACTTCATGGGGCCTTCCAGGAGAGGGTCTAAATTATGGTCTGTGGCTATGCATTAGAGTAAGAAGCAGTCCCAGATCTTCCAGGGATGACTGATGCTGGTTAAGGAGCAGGAATAGCTCCTTGGAAGATTTGTTGTGGAATTGGGAGAAGACCTGAGCTGGAGGGATAGTAGATCAGAACATATTGTGGTAATTGCCCAGGAATGAGTACTAAATCAGGAACAGAAGGAACTAGTAGCTCTGTGGCTTTTACCCTGGAGCAGGATCTCATGCCCTGTCTGAGGTCTGCAGCTGAATAAGAAGGGTAGAGAGCTCAGACCAATGAGGAGCCTGTAGTTGTGCCACTCTTAACGTGCAGAACCTGCCAGCTAGCTGACAGGATCTGGGATCAGCAGCAGTCTACTGGAGCTCCAGTCAGAGACAAGGTTACAGTTGTATAGCCCATATACCAGCTAGAATTATTAGCTTGTGGAACTCAGACCAGGAGGGCAGTGAACAGGTTGTACCCGAGATTAAACTCTTTTGAGCTTAATGAAAGCTTGTAGTTCCTCAGCCTGAGCAGCACCAGAGTTTCCTGAAGAACACAGCACTCAATATCCAGGGAAAGCAGCAACAGCACCAAAAGTAATTTAAAACAGAACCCAGTCATTCCCATTCCTTGGTCCTAAGAAAAGTTCCAGTTTGGAAAGTAAGGCTAGAAGAAAGAGTAATAATTTTAATAATAAAAAGATTTTTAATATAAAGGGATGTTAGAGTGACAGACACACCAAAAACACAAACCCAAATGAAAACAATGCCTCCAAAACATCTCTAGGTAAAGCCTCAAAGAAGAACAAATTTTCAACTAGAATTCCTGGTAGACATAAAGTAACAGTTAAAAAAAAATTTAAAAAATTATTTCATCAGTGAAATCAGACTACTCAAAGCCATGGCAAAAAAAAAAAAAGTAGATGTATTTCAAGAAAAACTAAAGAAAGCTTCCCAGATCTCACAGAACCAGAAGGCAAGGTTTTGAAAACAAAAAACCAAACAAAATAGAAACTACCAAGAACATCAAAGCCAAAATCCAGAGTTTCCAGATCAAAGGAAAAACTTCAGATACCCAGGAAGAGAATTCAAGTATTGAGGAGTCATAGTCAAGATTACACAAAATTTAGCAACTATCACAATAAAGGAGTGGAGAACTTGAAATACAGTAGTCCAAAAGGCAAAAGAAATAGGCTTATAACAAAGAAAAACTTATCTAGAAAAACTGAGTATAATCCTATAGGGGACCTTTAATGAAATAGAACTTCCAAGCATTCTTGATGAAAACTCCAGAGCTGAAGAGAAGCTTTGAAATACAAACACAGGAGTCAAAAGAATCCTAAAATGGTAAATACGAGTGAACAACCAGAAAGGACTAAACAAGGATGAAGTTTTTATATTCAAGTAGTAGGAGAGTCCCCTCAGAATCAATGTCTTCAGGGGTCATAGGGGGAGTTAAGTAAGACAGTTTTTTGTATGTTTTGATGCTTTTAAAAGAGGGAAAGGGAGGCAGAAATGAAGACACAAGGACAGGGAGTGGGAAATTATTTCACATAATCATGTACAATTATAAAATAAAAAAAGAAGAAAGAATGGGTAGGGAAACACTTTCATCTGAATTTGTCAGAGTAGATCAGAATACAGACACATACAGAGTTAGGTACAGAGTATATTTCACTCATTGAGGAAACAAGAGGGAATGGGGAGGAAGGAGGGAAGGAATAAGAGGGAGGGTAGAATCAGGGAGGGATTAATCATAAGCATACTCTTACCATGAAGGGTAGATCACAAACAAGGGTTTAAAAAGAAAGAAAGGAATGGTAAGAACCTCTGATTGGGCTCTGGTTAAAATAAAGAGAGCAGGGAAGCAGATTGCTTCAAACCTAGAGCACTGATGCTGAGCACACTCCTTCTCCTTTAATACCTTCTTTATAAAGTAGACTTGGGAAACAGTGGGGAAAAGTATAAGAGAATAGGATGAATGGAGGAAAGCATACAGATAACAGTCATCACTATGAATGTAATGAACTCACCCATAAAATGGAAGAGGATAGAATGGATCAAAAAGCAGAATCCAAAATATGTTGCTTACAACAAACACATTTGAGACAGAAAGATTCACACAAGATTAAAACAAAGGGCTTAAAAAGATAAGAGTAGCAATTATGATCCCAGATAAGGCAACAGCAAAAATAGTCTTAGTTAAGGATAAAGTTGGAAATTACATTATGCTGAAAGGTACTATAAACAAAGGATTAAATCAAATGCTTAGTATATATGCACCAAATGGCACAGCATCTAAATATTTAGAGTAAAAGTTAAATAAGTTACCGAAAGAAATAAGATTTCTCTTTTAAGTATAGACAAATAATAAAAATAAACAAGATTGAAATTAAGGACCTAAATGGAATTTTAGAAAAGTTAGATATGATAGGCCTTTGGTGATTATTGAGTGGGAATAGAAAGGAGTATAGGATAGGGGCAGAGAGACTAAAG